AAAGGGTTTATATTCAAGATACATTATTTACGAGTCACCAATATGGAAAATTGATGTTAGTCTTATAACTGTTACAAACTTAAAAATGTTATAATTAAATAGAATGTGAGGTAGCGTTTGAACTTAAAACAAATTTCACAGGTTAACTAAACGATAAAAAGAATAATAAATGAACTGAAAACAAAACCATAACGAAATAAAAATAGAATTTGCTATCTCACATTCCTTGCTCTTTCGAAAAAGTGATTTCATTAAATCACTAAATTCCCAATTTTCGTATCCTTACTTTTAACGACCTCGTTATACTGACATCATGAATCCTGCCCGCTTTAAATACATATATCTTACAAAGAAAATTCGTTCAAATTCTTCCTTCTTCATATTGTCTACCTTTCTGCTATGGTTACGGAAAATCCTAGAGTCCAAATACAAGCTGAGCTGCAATAATTAAGTGACTAGTTAGAACAGATTAATTCATGTTATTATTTACATACTATTTACCAATGTTAAATATATGTACGTCACAGATATTTTTAGGTTATATCGTGTTAACAGGACAATTTCTAAAATGAATTTTTCCAGTGAATTTTTTCGACACCAGAGGAAATGCTCATCGTCCTATGCCGTTGCAGAAAATTTCAATGGCGCAAGAAGGCTTTCAGATTGCGCCCTCCCCGCCATCGAAATAAAGGACTTATTCTGATGTGTCCACTTTTCGTACTTCGACGTAACATACTGATAAGTCATCTATGTCCTCTACTTAAACTAAATGGTCTTTGAACTCGAGCACTTCCTGTGAAGTGAACCAAAGCAGGAAAGTAGAGAAGATGAAGATTCATGAACATGAATTATTTCTCTTTGTAAGGTATCTGTACTGAAACTGTAAATGATTCATGATGTCAGTGTAATGAGGCCGTTAAAAGTAAGGATACTAAAATTAGGAATTTAGTAGTGATTAATGTAATCACTTCGGTTTTCGAAAGGAGTGTGAGGTAGCAAACTATTTTATTTTGTTATGGTTTTGTTTAGTTAACTTATTCTTTCTATCGTTTAGTTTATCTGTCAATTTTCAGTTTACACTTAAACGCTAACTCACTTCCTAGCTAATCGCATTTACTTTTAGATTCTAAGAGTTATCAGACTGACACCAGTTTCCCTTTATATAAAAATGGAGTAACACAAGTAGTAACTTGGAATAGAAAATCTTAGAATAAAGTTCAATAAGATTCACTATAGAACATATTTAATGTATTCTTAACGACAGTAGCGAGTTACCTACTTTTAATTTTGTCCGAAAGAGACTAACGGGTACAAGCTTCTCGCTGTAGCTTCCGATGTTTTTCAAAGTTGGATATTGCCTTCTGTATAATATTTCTAGGTAGATCTGTTCGTTCATCTACGGTTATAGGTAATGTTGGATATTTTGTTTCTAAAAAGTCCTTCTTTGACTCCTCGTAAACTATGAAATAGCCTGCATACAGTGTATGAATGAGCCAGTGACCAGAACTTTCCACTAACACGAAAGAACAATATGCCATTAATAACAGTTTAATATTTATATAAATAAATAGAAAAAGGAACGGAAGAAAAACGTGTATAAAACATCGAATAATAACAAAAACACTTCATCGCTATCTCACGTGATTAAAGTCATTTAAACTCCTGATAAAGTCTTTATTCAAAAAATTAAAAACATTTAATTAAAAATTTTACAACTTTAATATCTGCAAGTCACCGGTAATGGAAACTGGTGTCAGTCTCATAACTTTTAGAAACTTTAAATGACGTAACTGATTAGAATGCGAAGTAGCGTTTAAATGTAAAACAAATGTTACAGGTTAACTAAACAATAGAAAGAATAAAAAGTGAACATAAAACAAAACCATAACGAAATAAAAATAGAATTTGCTACCTCGTATTCCTTCCCCGTTCGAAAACCGACGTGATCACATTAATCACTGCTTATAAACTCCCAATTTTAGTACCCTTACTATTAATGATCTCATTATACTGACACCATGAATCCAGCCCAGTTTAAGTACATATACCTTACAAAGAAAAAGCGTAGTGTTCTCCGATCTTCAGCTTTTCTACCTTCTGCTATGATTCAGGTTACGAGAAGCTAAGTCCAAAGACCAGCAAAGTTACTATAATTAATTAGATCAATAGATTTGAAATAATGAAGTCATTATTTGTGTATTCATTACCAACATTAACATCTATAAGTCACCGCTATAAGAAACTGGTGTCGGTCTCATAATTCAAATTTAAAATTGATGTGAATAACTAAAATGTAAAATAAAAATTCACAGATTAACTAAATGATGATAGAATGAATAATAAATAAACAAATCCAAAACTAAATAAAATGAAACTTTCTACTTCACACTCTTCCCCTTTAGAAGAAGTCATTACATTAATCAGTTTAAAATTAAGTCCTTATTTGTAACGTTATACTGACTTCCTTTACACTTTAAATACGGATACAGTTCAAGGATGAAACCATTTTCTTATATATTCGACTTTATCTTTCGGTTCTAGTACAGGTTAACGATGTTACAGTTCTAAGACCGGTTAATGTGCAATAATTAAATAACAAACGGCATACATACTCTTTACCAATATCAATATCTGTACGTCACCGATAGGGGAAACTGATGTCAGTCTAATAATTCATGTAAATTAAAAATTGGTGCGATTAGCTAGAAGGTGAGTTAGCGTTGAAGTGCAAATAAAAATCCAGAGGTTAACTAAACGATAGAATGAATAAGCGAACGGTAAAGAAATCCATAACAAAATAACAAAAGAATACGCTATCTCACACTCCTTCCGCTTTAGACAAAGAATGTAATATTAAATCACTGCTTATAAATTCCCAATTTTAGTATTCTTACTTTTAAGGCCATCGTTATACTGACTTTATGAATCCCCCACACACACACACACAGTTAAGTTCAGAT